TCATGGGGGTGCTGCTGTCCCGTCCCATCACCGACCAGCCAGGGTCATCCCCTTCTGCACATCCTCACCCCCCTGTGCTGACCCTCATCCCCCCATGCTCACCTTCATCCCTGTGCTCACCTTTATTCCCCTCCACATACCTTCATCCCCCTCTGCACACCTCATCCCCTTCCACACACATCCCCCTTCCCCTTCATTGTCCTCCATGCGCCCTCATGCCCTGTCACCCACCTTCATTCCCCTCCTCATCCCCATCCTCACGCCCTCATCCCTCCCCAAAACCCTCACCCCCCCTTCCATACACACCCTCAGCCCCCCACACCCCACCAGCATGCAGCTTCCCTGTCTCTCCTGCACCCCCGCCTCACCCCGTGGTACCCAGGATGGGGATCTCAGCCCACACGGTTGTGATTTCCCAAGGGAACCCAGCCAGGAGCCAGGCTGCAGTCATTTCCTCGGAGCGAGCCGATGGGTGGTAACGCGCTAAGCCGCAGCCGGCTGATTGCATGTGAGTCCCTGGCCGTGACCCAGCCCGACTGTTGGGAACCATGGCCCCGATGCGGGCAACGCGTGGCAGAAACCCCGGCCCCACCAGCCACGGGGTCCAGCATGTGCCAAGGACCCATGCCACAGTACATGAAAACCTCAGAGGTAAATCAGGGAGCGGGATCCTCCCGGCTCAGGGAAGGGATGCTCTTTGCATCCTGTCTCTTCTAGAAACATATTTTTCTAATTTTCATGCTGAGCTTGGTTGTATGCAAGCATTTCGGGACAAGACAGCCAACGCTGCAGCCTGTAAAGCGACAGTCTCTGAAGCATCCAGCGTATTCAGCAATCGTGTGTGATTAATAAAGCAGTATCACATTCTTCCACCCTTGGACTGGTGCTAACTTGTAAGAAATCTGGACGAAAAACTGCAACAAAATGGCTGCTATTCTCCAAGGGCCGTTCGGAGCACTCGTTACTCATCCCTTACTTGGGCAAAAATGACATTGACTGCTCCTGGAGATGACAGGCTTAATTGAGTTCAATAGAAGTTTAGGCTGAGTAAGGCATGAGCAAACAAGCGTGCATTAGCCCATGAATAAAAGCCTGATCTGCAAATGTTTAGGAACACATGTAACGTCGCACAGGGGAGTATTGAGGGGGTCACCACTGTGCTGGGCCTGCTGGGGTCGGGCTTCGGCTCGATTACTGCATCCAACCCAACTGCTGGTGATGCCGGGATGAGCTTGTTCTGGAGTGTGGCGATTCAAGCCTGGCTCGGTGGTTTGTTTCAGTCCTGCCTCTTTTTTTAAATTTTTTTCCCTCCTTCAGAAGTCCATAATCCTCATTTCTGCTATTCTTCGTCCACTGGTGGGAACAGCAACTTCCTTTCCCAAATTATAATATAAAAGAGCTGCAGGCAGCAATGCCATAAATAATATTTCCTTATGGCCAGAACATCCAAGCCTAGGCAAGACACCAAGAACAGCTACAACGCTCTAAAACTCCAACACTTCTCCAGAATGGATTCACTAATTAAAAAATGATTCCTTTTTAAAAGCAGTTGAAAAATATTGGCTTTTCTATTACTGCCTGTCGCTTGCTGTGCCGAGAAAGAGCCAATCCTGCAAACCCGCAGCCCAGCTTACCAGCCGTGAGTCTGCCTTTCCCCCTAAAAAATGTCACCGAAATAAATGCACGGGGAGGGGAAGGGGAGAGAAAAACACCCCATCATGATCACTTCTTTAACTAATTAATGTATCACCACTTCAAAGCACGGAGCGAGAGCCCCCGAGGCTGAGGCGATGCTCTCTGCTGGGCAGGGCACTTGCTGGGAACCAAACAGTTCCAGCCCTTCCATTGCCGGGTGAGGAGTTTCCCTGTGCTGGCCTCCCCTCCTGTACCTGCTGGGATGCAGGCTGCCCAGCTGATGGGGCATTTGCCTTTCGGAGCCCCGTGGAAATACCCCGCAGCCCCCCCCTAAGAATGCAGAGGCTGAGCCTGCACTCAGGGCTGGGTGCATGGAGCTCCCCAAGCCCCGGGGGTCTGGGGCAGAGGGAGAAGTGAGCAGTCGGAGAAGAGCCCCCCGCTTCCATCCTCCTGCTCAGCTCTGGACCAGCATCTTTCCACTCATTGGCACAGGACAGGGATGCTGGCAACCACTGCCTGCGAGAGCCACTGGCACCACAGTGACATTGATCCTAACTAGGATGCAGCGCTCAGCATCGAGGTGAGACGTTATTTTTTTTTCCTCCCCTTTGCCTTATAACCATCTTTGCAAAAATAAAACACATTTCCCAGGAGGTTCCCTTGAACCACCAGCCTCTGGCCGCTGGCCGTGCTTGTGCCCCCACGTGAGCACTTCATGGGTTTAAATCCATCCCTGCACCACCAGCCTAACCTCAGCCCCCTAAAATGAAGCTCCAGAGGCTTCAAAGTCTCATGCTGCGGGGAAAACATCATCCCTGGGGACTGAGAAAACCCTTTCTCCAAGGAAGATACACACTTTGGGCTCAAACACCGTTGATAAGGATCCTTCTCTTTTTTTTTTTTTTGATCTTTTCTTGCAGTGAGCATTCCTTTCACACCCACGCACACCCCAGCATCCTCAGCCATTGGTCTGCCGGCACATCCGTCACACTTTCCATCAGCCAAAGTAGATACACATTTCAACTGCTTCCATTCCTCGTCTCCTCTGGTGTTAACAGCCAGCGCAAACAAAGGGCCTGAATATCCATCGCCCTATTAAATTGTTTTCATTTGTTTCTTGTGCCACAGTTGGTTTGGGTTAGAGGGTTTGTGTAAGTGATTTGGGGTGGGCAGCTGATGCTGTAACTGTGTTCTGGGATAGGGTGGCATTGCATTGGACACCCATGGCATATCTTTTGCTCTGCTTGGGCTGCAGGCTGGGAATCCTGAGGGGTTTGCAAGCAACAATGGGCAACACGAAGACTTTTTGGGTGCATGGAGGGAGAAACTCCCTGGGGAGCAGCTGGGATAATGGCAGCTCATGCTCCAGCGAGAGCTTGGGGAGCTCAAACCCCCCTCTCTCACCCCACTTCGGCTTTTCTGCTTCCACTGGAGGAAATGAGGACAAGTGTTAGCTCAACCGTTAGCTGAGCTTTCCCCAATTTCGAACAGATGGTGGGTTCATGGCTGGATTTGGGCAGAAAGCTCTTGCTTTCCCCACATTTGCTGGCTATACTTAGCCAGGAGATGCTGGCCCTGAATTGCGGTGGCTGGTTCTCCCTTTAGCTCACAAGAAGGTCTCATCTTGCTGTGTGGGTAAGGGACGATGACCCACGCCGTCCCATTGTCCCTGGGCTGTCCATCTCCATCTGCCCCCACCGCAAGTGTCTGCTGATGAATCATGGAGCCCGGATTCGTGCAGCTGGTGGGAAAACCTCGGCTCCGTCCACAAAGCCACTGGGACAGATGTTCGCCAGCAGTCCGGCTGCAGCTCGTGGTCCCACTGCCATTGTCATCTGTCCCCAGCCCTGTGCAGGGACAGGTTCGGGCCGCAGTGGCGTTGTGACACTGCCCAGCAAGGACGAGCATCCCTCTTGTACAACTGCATCTGCCTCATCTGTCTCCTGATCCTCAGCCTTTCCGCCCTGGCTACCTCTCGCAGCATTAACTTGGAGGGCTCAGATCACCCCCAGAATGGGGGAAAGACCTGTATGTGTCCCAGGAAGGGGACCCCAAATTGTATCAGCCCCCCCTGGGGTCAGTGCATGAGCTGAGCAGGTGAGAGAAGAACTACTGGGGAGTTGAGGATGGTGTTTCAGGGCATGTCCCGGTGTTTCTCACCACTGAATTAATCAGATTTGGGACTGTCCGCGCAGCCAAATCCTCACCCCACAAAGGTGAGTTAGTGCTGGAAATGGGGGCACAGGCTGCCCTGTTCCCCCCGAGCTGCCCCTCTCCAGCATCTCCCCATCCAAATGACTCTCCACAGCCCCCCATGACACCCCATGGGTCTGTGCCACAGGGTGGCACTTCCCATCTGCCACCCGTAAGCAGAGAGCATGAGCAGGCCGGTCCTGGCAGTGGGGACACCCAGGGTATGCGGGGGGCTCCGTTGGGACTACCAGCCCAGTGGGGTCTGGAGGGATGCCGCAGAGCGCTGGGGCAGTGAGCAGCAGGGGCCACACCTCATGAGTCACCCTGGTGCTTCCTGGTGCACCCAGAGTTTTCCCTTCCAGGTCCCTTCTGGCAGCACTGACCCAGCCCAGCCCCGTGCTGGCTCTGCCTCACGTGGCTGCCAGCCCTCCTCCACTGACACCGGCTTCCCTCGGCACATGCCCGCATGCCACCAGTGCTCTGGGTGCTGGGCTGCTCCTCAGGGGCCCAAATCCCCAAAGGCTTCCAGGCAGTGGGGTTAGACCCAGTGGGTGGAGAGTCCAGGGCATGCAAAGACACCGTGGGCACTGCATGGCTGCTTGCACCAGGGCAAAATGGGGCAAAACAGGAGTTTGGTGCCTGGTGGGCATCAAGCTGGGTTGGGGGGGTCCCTCACTGGGAGGCTGGGCAGAGCACAGCCATGCGTGGGCTCTGTGCACACTCCTAGGGGGATGAGGAAACATGAACCGAGGAGACCACCAACCCCTCTCTCACTGAGAGACTGAGCTACAAAATACAAACCAGAATCTAAAGAAAAAAAAAAAAAAAAAAAAAAAGGGGATGAGTTTCCAGGATCTGCTTCCAAGAAACGTCTCAAAGGGACAAAATCGGGATCACAGTCAGCCTCATCTGCTAAATATACCCTGGGCCTGACTCTGCCATCTGCCCCAGACCAGCAATCTGTCCCCAGTTTGCCTGAAGAGGGTGGCCGCGGCTGGATGAGCGTCCCACAGCAGTCTGTGGGCACCATGCATCTCACGCCACCCCACGAGTGTCTGTAACCACAAGCATTCACCGGGCAGAAGGTGGAAACCAAGGGAGCAGAGCAGGATGGGGATGCAGGAGCACCCATCGGACACCGGCTTGCAGCCTTGGCAGCCCTGGCGCAGGCGCTACTCGCAGGCCAGCTTCCCATCGAAGCTGGAGAGGGCAATGGCGAAGGCCTGCATGGCACAGAGCGGGTAGTTGTAGTCCATGGTGAAGGCATCATCTGCCACACGCCCAAACTGCATCACGATGTAATCGGCTGCGGGAGAGAGGGGATGACTCCGGTCGGCGCAGTGGGGGCAAGCGGCTGGGCTGTCACCTGCGCACCCATCCCACCCTTTTCCTAGGGGACCCACGCAGTGGCATCCCAAAGAAGCCACCCCTCCCTCCACCAAGCTCTGCCTGTGGCTCGTGCACCAGCTGCACTGTACCACAGCGCATGTTACCAAAAAGCGGCATTTTCCCATTGCACAGTCTGGCACTGGACCACGGCACCCTTCGGTCTCCCCAGCAACCCCTACCCGGGAGCCACAGCCCCCCAAGGGACGGGGACCCCACTCACCCCCCCACGGGACTGCTACTACTGGAGGGTAAGTGACAGGAAATCTGTAAAAATAACCAGGGGCCCCCGAGAGGTTTTTTCTGTCCCGTAACCCAACACCCCAGAGGCTGAGGGCTTCTGACTGCGCCGGACAGGTGACGAATGGCCACGTCCGGCCGCTCGCGCAGGGACAGAGCTGTTGCCACCCCTGAGGGACTGTCCCCAAGGCATGATGCACCTCAGGGTGAGCCCGCCAGCAATGTGGGGTGCATGCCGGGGTGATGCTCTGAGGTGCGTGGGTGGCTGTAGTAGGGTGGAACAGGGCTCAGCACCCCACAGGAATTGTCCTTGCCCGAATCTGCCTGGCAACAGGTGACAGGCGCGGTCCCTCTGCCGGCACCCAGGGCCAGCAGGCAGCTGCTTGTGCGGTGCCATACGCCCTGTAGGGCTTCATCCCAGCTCCAGCAAAGGCAGGCAGTACCCCAAAGCAGCCATGCATGAAAAAAATAAACCTCAGCAAAAAAAGGGGCTACTGTTGCCAGCTGATGTCAGTGCTCCCCCACCACCACCCCCATCCCCTTCCCAGCTTACGGTCACTGCCATGCACGATCTGGAAGTTTTTGACAGAGGCGTGGGTGACCCGGCCGTGGAAGTTGAGGACATAGGACTGGGTCTCGTCGTTCCACACCGGTGCCTTGTTGTGCAGCTCGATCACATTGTCCATGTTTTTATTCTGCCATCGCATCAGGAGGCCGTCATTATCCTGGGGAGGGTGAGAGGGGGGAGAGCAGAGTTGGGGTGATCCCCCCCAGAGCCCTACCACCTGCCATGGCATGCCCAGGGGGATGCTCTGCAGCAGGATCCAGCTGGGAGATGGGATCCAGCATGGAGAAAAAAATACAAACACCACATCTCCCACCTCCCAGGGAGGTGCCTTGAATTTCAGGGACACTTGAAAGTCTTTCAATGCCCCCAAATGGGTAAAATTCAAGGTGAACCCCAGCAAATCCAGCCCCCAAGGAGTTTCTCCCTGACTTACGTTTCGGGGCCGGATGGGCACCCTCTCATTGTCGGCGTTCATCCCAGGGATGATGACCGTCATCTTCCGGGGGCCTTTGAACCCTAAAACATTGGTCTCCTGCAAGACAAACCCCATCTCTAAAACCAGCGACGGCTGTGGGCTGCATCCTCTCGCCAGCAGGTGAACAAGGGCTCAGGGACAGATCCAGCCCATCCCACATCTCTGCAACCCCTCAGGGCAGTAGCCCCGCCAAAAGGGTGCAGGTCGGGACCCCCTTGCTGCCTGCCTGGGAGGTCCAGGGTGGGGTTCCTGCACCACTGCTTACATAGACCACAGCCGAGAGCTCCTGCCGCACGTTGGACCAGTCAGTGTTGGCCCTGTCAGGGTTCACGCCGTTGTCGAACACCGTGAACTTCGTACCCATCAGGTTGGATCTGCAGCCGAGGATGGGAGATGGCTGTGACTGGTGCCACTGAGTCCCCTCTGACCCCCCTGTCCCTCCCCTCTCCAGGCACAGCCCCAGCTTTTCTCCAGCTGGAAAACCCACATGCAGCCCCCCACTAACACCATTGTTCCCACCCTTTAGCCATTTGCTCGGGTTCAGGACACCCCTAAATTGGGGTGTTACGGCGTGCTGTCGCCATGGGGACCCCCCAGCATCACTGTGTGGCTGCCGGTGGTGCAGCGGGCCAGGACTTGCTGGGTGCCGTTTCTAGCTGTGACCTGTCGGCCAGGAGGAACTAGACAAGCCTGTTTTCCCCTCCTGGCCCCCCAACACTCCTCAGGTCAGACCCGGCAGCAGAGGACACTGAATTTAGCCTCCTGTTTGACCCAGCCATCACTCGGGGCAGCCAGAAACCCATGGAGTGGGAGCGGGGTGCTGCAGGAACGGGGTGCTGCAGGAATGGGGTGCCACTGAAATGGGGTGACACCTCTGCTCCTACCTCAGTTTCCCGATGAAGTTCTCTCCCCCCCGAGACAGGTCGGTGGGGTCAATGGAGATGAGGTAGTTGGAGGTTTTGCTCTTCTTACGCTTCCTCCCGGCGAGGAGGAATACCTGGGAGGGCGGTGGGACCACATGGGGATGGGGCATTGTCATTGCCATCGCCACCACCATCCCCGGCTTGCTGCCCAGCCGTGCCCTCTGCACAAGGCTTGGCCCAACAGGTCACTGCCGCAACCTTGCGCAAGACATGGAGTGAAGATGATCCCCAAAATACCAGCTGAGCCATGGGACGGGAGGGTCTGAGCCCAGCCCGGCATTAGTGTGGCTCTCTAGCTGCCATTTGCTCATCATCCCAGGTACCATCGACATGGGGCATTTCCCAAGAGGGACTGCAGGGGAGGGGAGCAGCCCCATCCAGGACCCACCACTGCAGTGGGATGCAGGTGGGCATCCCCCCAAAACCCTGAGGGTGCTCCCTGGGGTGGGTGCAGAGCCCCAGGGGTCTCCACACCCCCACCCCAGCTCACCTTCTTGTCATTATCCAAGTGGAGGTAATAGGTGGGGTAAAGCCCCCGGTCCATCCCCTTCTTGTCCCGCGTCACCCGGCACTTGATGGTCACCCCCTGCGGTGCTGGCTGCAACACGAACTCCTCCAGGTTGTCTACCTCAATGATGGGCGACGGAGGCCTCTCCTCCTTTGGCTACAACACAAGAGGGGATGGTGACCCCAAAGCCAAACCTGCCAAAAGCTCCCCTCCTTTCCCAGCTAATTGCTCCTTGCTCTCAATCCTCCCCAGGCTGTGGCTCTGCAGCTGGTGGCTTTGGGGATGGTGCTGTGGTGGGTCTCCCTGGGGGATGCTCCAGCCCCCTGACCCACCCTGGGGGGAAGAGCTGCTGCCCCTGCCCCGAGGAGACACCCATGATTCTGAGGGTTTTTTTTGTACCTTCTTTGATTTCTTCCCCTTCCCCTTCTTGTTGGAGTTTTTCTGCAGGGTCTCCTCCTCGCTCTCGGCCGCTTTGGGAAGAGCTGCAGGCAGGAATGGTAGGGGCATGGGGAGGGGGGAAGAACCTGACTCCGCTGAACCCCAAAACTGAGCTTGGCATAGACACACACCAACACCATTAATCATAACCCCCCTCTCCATGGCCAGGCTCACCCACACCCCCACAAGCCCCTCCAGCACCCACCGCCCTCCATTGCATCACCAGTGCCGGGCTCTCACCTTTCTTTTTGGTTTTCTTCTCCTTGGGGGGGTCCCCACCAGTCTGGAAGAGGAATGCTGGGTTTTTCTTCCTCTCTGACCTGATGGGTTTGGTGCTGGAGTCGGAATCATCCTCCTCATCACTGCTGATGGCGGCTGGGGGGACACACGGGTGACACCGTCACACAGCACCAGGTGCTGTCAGCTCGGGGTGATGCTGTGGGGCAGCGGGACTGGCTGCCACCCCCCCACACTTGCCCCGTACCTTTCTTCTTGCTTTTCTTCTCCTTATTCTCCCCATTCACCTGGAACATGGACATCGGCTCCTTCTTGGTGCTCTTGGCAGATTTGGCTTTGCCGTCAGGGTCACTCTTGTCTCCTGGCAGGACGAAGGAGCTGATGAGCGGCTGGACAGGGGGAAGGGGATGGGTGATGACAGGAACAGGGAGGTGGCAGGGTGGGGGCAGCAGGAAGGGTTGAGCTGGGGGGAGATTGCACAGGGAGGGGGCAATTGCCCCGCAGCCCCCTGAGCCTATGAGGACAGTGATGGGGACAGGATGCAGGCGGTCCCCTTGTCCCAGCAAGGAGGGATGCAAGTAGCGATGGCACTGCGTACATGCCGTCCCTGTCCCCTGGGCACTCACTCTTTGGCTTCAGCTTCTTCTCCCTGCTCTCGCCTGAAGGAGGCTCTTTGGGCAGCTTCTTCTTGAGCTTTTTTGGTGGGTCTTTATTCTCCATCTCCTCTTCCTCTTCCTCCTCCTCTGAGTCCTCGGTGGGCTCTGCCCAGAGGTGACACCATGGCGTCAGCAAAGCGATGGTGTCTTGCATCGGGGACCCGCAGCCTCGTGGTTTACGAGCAGGGAACCTCCCTCGGCAGCGCCGGCCAGCGTGGGCACCATCGTGCCACAGCCAAGATTCTGGGACCATGGGCGCCCGGCCCAGCCGCGGTGGCCAGCGGCGCGTTGGACATGTCCAGTGCCGGACACCGCGTGCGAAGTCACACCGCCATCTCGCGGCTGCAGCCCCGGAGTGC